GAGTAAAGGTTTAACTGCAGCCAGCTTGAAGGCCTGTGGTACATAGCTGATTATTAGAGATAGGTTGATCATATTTAAGATCGAAGCATTAATTAATGGCAGGACTTCTTTGAGCAGTTTTGTAGGAATGGGGTCTAAAAGACACATTGATGGTTTGGAGGAAGTAATTATTGAAGTTAACTCAGAAAGATCAATTGGAGAAAAAGAGTCTAAATAAATGTAACTAGTGTTAGCTGTAAATAGCTATAGGTCTGTGGGATGGTTATGAATATTTTTCTCTGATGGTTAAAATTGTATTTGTGAAGAAATTAATGAAATCATTACTAATTAAGGTTAAATGAATAAATGATGAATTGTAAAATTTCCTAGGTTTACGGAGAGCTGCTTTAAAAAACAAAACAAAAACACAAAACAAAAAAAAAACCAACAACAAAGCAATAAACTAATTTCCAAGGCTATGAATGAATGTGAAGATTTTTAGTTCCTGTATCAAGTCAGTTAACCATTACCAATTTTTATTTCGTAGCTCAGTTGCCAGGAAGTCTTCTATTGGCCCATCCCAGACTCAACTGTCTCTCATCCGGCTAACTCCGCCCACCTCCCCCACCACCCCTGATGCTGCCCCACCCTGCCTGAGGAACTGAAGCAGTACAAGCATTAAAATATACTGTGTAACGTTTTTCATGGATATGTGTTATTGTTGAGTAATATTTTACTACCTTGCTAATAAATTACGAAAATTATAAAAAAAAATATATTTTATAACCACAGTACTTTTATCCTTCTTGGATTGTGAAGAAATGTCATATTTTCACATACATTGTCTGATTTTGGTCAGAATTCATAATGAAAAATTCATTATTAAAGTATATGCTGTTACAGCGAGTCCTTTACTACTAAAAAATAAAATAATTTGCATTGCCAGGTCATTATGGATGATTACGGTATAATAATAATAATGGGGGTTTTTTTGGTTTATGTTTTTACATGTATCCATAAGCTCGACATTTATGGCAGGAAGTGCGCTGACTAAATCCTGTGCTGACAAATGATGGTAATCATAAAGTCAAGTCCACCTTTTAAATTCACAAATTTAAATTGAAGGTTTATGACAAATTATTTTAAGACTTTCAGATGCTAAACATTTACTTAAAAGATACAGAGATATTTTCCCTTTAACTTTTCTGGCTGTGTGCAATGACAGTTTAACAAGTCAAGTTCATATCCACTAGTCTCATCCTAGAGTTTTAACTTTTACCCCCTCGCTACAGAGCCTAGCAGGTTACTGCACTTGCCATGTTATTATAGTAGCTGTCCTCTAGAGGGAAGCACAGGAACACACATAACTGGTATCTTTTCATGGGACAGCACTGAAGATATGACTTTGATGCGATGTAAAGTAGTCGGTGTACAGCTTGTATAGCAGTGTCTTGATGCATGCTCAGTCATTCAGGTAAGTAAATCCCAAAAAGTTGATTCTGTTCATCTGCAGGTTTCCAACCTTATAAACAGGACATTTGCACAATGACTGAAACCAGCACCACTGAATGAACAATGGGCTGGGAGGTCAGTTTATGATCATTAATATGCAAACTGTCATGACCATTGATCAACAACCACTGATCAAAGCCCACTGACTTAATTTAATTATTTAATCTTGTAGTAAATTAAGTTATGAAATTGTGTTTAATATTTTTATATATACTCTCAGTTACCTTAGTGCAATCAAAAAGATCGACCCTCTGTGAAAGGGTCCTCTCTCTCTCTCTCTCTCTCTGGTTGTGTTACAATAGCAAGCAAACTGTACTGCTGAGGGGCTTTATTGAATGGACCCCAGCTCCTGTCTCCTGTTGTCAAATTCTCAAGCGAAACAAGGACAAGGACAACCAACCACTGACCACCAAGTAGGTTGGTTCAGATATTTCATGATGATTTCCTGCTGCCATTACCAGTGCCTTAATAATCGTTTTTGGTTTTTTTTGGTTTTTTTTTAGATGTAGGGGAGAGGTGGATTGAAATAACTTTCATGAACAAATGAATGGCCTTTCATGGCGAAACCAGATGAGGTTTGACTCCATCAAATAAATACTTCAAATGAGGGGAGAGAAAACAAGGGAAGTCAAACTAAAAACCAGACATGCAGAGCAGCAATCACCTGAATGGGGAAACAAGATTAACTTACATTTGTGTATAAAGTAAAGCAATTAAACATATTGGAACACATTTGAATGTTTAATCTTTATGATTAGAAATAAAGAAATAATTCACTGGGGGTGGATAGTATAGTCTGAGTACAGCACACCTCCAATCCCTCACCTAAACTGTTGAAAATGGAGTGTGTATTTTTTGGGGTGAATACTCTAAATAACATAAGCCACATCATATCAGTATAACTAACCACATATATTCTCTGTCTGTATTTACAGTAATAAGGGTCAGCTAATTAAAGTCAACTTCTTCTTTGTCTTTATCGAGGGATGAAATAGAAAGTTTCCAGCAGTGCCTAGTGTCGAAGATTAAAAGTCTGTCAGTCACTCACAAAAAAGTACACCTATTGTTTTGGTTTATTATGGATATAGATTACCTTAAGTAGGACAACTGCAATTTGTTTTCCTTACAGTTGTACACTCACCATGTTTTGCACATCACTTTACATTTCCCTTTCAACACTAGGCATTCCTATAACTGCACTTTCAGCTGTTCTTCAGGTGCTAAAAATCCTGCTTTCTTGTGGCAGCTACGTTCCAAGAAAAACAATGAAAGATTCCCGAGTGTCCTGCTGTGCTGTGTGTAACCTAAGGCCCTCATTCAGATCCACTGTAAAATCAAATTAGTTCCCACAGCTTTTAAAAAATTTAACAAAAAACAAAGTAAAAATTACTTAAGATAAATAAGTTAGGGCAACTTATTTATTCTGAGTTATTTCTCTGAACTTAAACAATGTATGGAAACTCGTTGCCTCAAAAAATGTAAAGCTTACGTAAAGATAACTATGTTAGGACAACATAGTCATTGCAAGTACACAGTACTAAGAATAACTTTGGGTTTTTTTGAGTGTGCAATACTAATTGTTTACCTACGGACAAACATTTCAAGTTCTGCTAAACTAAAAAACAATTTTTGGTACCATACTATTTTTGATTTTGCTTACATGACGACGAAGCACGAAACCGACGTTGACAAAAATGCCCTGGCCACCGCTGATGCTGTAGTGGATACCAGAGGCACTGCCTCGGGCCACCAGGTCGTCCACTACAGTAAAAGGTGCGTGAAACCTTGCGACTGTGACAGAGGACCAACCAGATCCACATGCACCTGATCAAAACGCTTCCCTGCGTTGGCATGGGATGTACGCCGCTGCCCAGTCTTTCACCGATTTGCGAGGGGCCGACCAAACGAACCTAGAGCTGACCAGCTTGACTGAGGCCCGGACACCTGGATGAGAGAGGACGTGTACTTACTGAGTCAAAAATGCAACAACGCCACAAAGAGGCGCCAAAAAGGGGAACTACCGGACGTAAAAAAACCAGACATGTTGAGTAAATTATATATATATTATAACTTGAAATGCAAATATAAATTGTACATTTTGAAAACATATGCACACATTTTGTGACCATATACAACTATTTATCTAAAAATGCAGCCAATACACCTGCTGTTGTTTAATTTTGTACAATCAATCAAAAATATTAATAAAACTTAAATGAGAGAACAATCAGGTGTCGCAATAAGATGTCCCACAAATTATGTGTGCCAGTAAAAAAAAAAGTGTTTTTCCACAAAAAGACAGAGGAGAACACCACAGGGATAAACCTGCAGGTCTGGCAACAGGAGGTGTATCACTCCATTGGTTTTCTACTTGGTGAGAAAACCAAGTGTTTACATTGCAATGTGCCTTTGTGACATTCATTAGTGCCCTCACTGACACCAAAACAAAACAACGACTACACAACAGACTAACTACACAAGACAACACAACACACTAACTATACACTCCACGCTAAACACCACAAATCTCCCGCGTCTAAAAACTCTCTCACACACTCGCTCTTGCTGCCATTACCGTCACTTCCAAAACTTTCCCCTCTTCCTAAACAACCAAATCCCACGTGTTGACTTTTTTTTTTTTGGTCAACATGATACATTTTTTTCCACCAATAGGAAAGAGGTGGCTGTCTTTTTCTTTCTTTACTGTTTCTGCGCTGTCCTTAGAAAATGCTTCCCCCCCCCCCACACACACACACACAAACACACACAAAACCGTGATGACAGTATTTAGAAAAAAGCATGGCTGATATATATATATTTTATCATAACTCTGGATTTACTGGCCGGTAATTAAAATATTAAAAGCGGTGTATACTTTGACATCCGAACGTTCAATACAGGCTGAAATAGAGACACAGCATGGCTACACCTTGTTGCTGTGTAAGCTTAAATCAGTCATATGATTTGGAGGTGCAGTGTGTCCGTGGACCCCAGAGGGTTAATAACACTCACCTTCATTCCATTTCCAGAGTGTAACAACCAACCACCTGTGTGAAATCCAGAGCTTAACCAGACTAGAGTCCACTGAGACCGTTCAGGAGGCCGACCCAGGGGTCGACAGCACAGGAGTCCGAGCAGTACAGGTGGCCAACCCGGGGGCCAGCGACAGGGATGAAACGGGTCCGGAGGCCGGCCACGTAGAAGGCAGCGGCGGCGAGGAAACAATTCAGGCGGCCAACAACGCTGATGGCAGTGGCGGCAGCGACAGAGCCGGTCCGGAGGCCGACCACGCAGGAGGCAGTGGCGACGACAGAGCAGGTCCGGAGCAGGTACTAGAGTTAAATATAAACGCTCCAACTAAAGGAAGAAAAGGAAGGTCGTGGGCTTCTTTGTCTACGAGAATATTATTGTGCAGCTCAATTAAGACCATTGATATGTCTCTGTTGTCCAGATTACACCGCCGGATGGAAAGATGTTGAAGGAACAATAGTTAAAGGAAAACCAGTTACAGCTTTAATATTGGACATAAAATTGCAGAATAAAATACACATGGCAGATGAACCCATACTACAAATAATGATATCTGCTTGGAAAAAAGTAATACAAATTTGCGGTTTGGAAAATGCCTCCAAGGTTTTAAGATGGTGTGCATATGATTCAGATTTTATCCCAAATCAGTACGATAATAGATTCAAAAACTGGATTTCAAAAGGTATAACTAATTATTATTCATTTGTCCACAAGGGGGCATGCCAAAGCTTTGAAAGGAGTAAACATGATTTAGGCTCAGACGACTTCTTTAGATATCTACAGGTCAGAAATTATTTTAATCAAAACTTAAAAGTGAACCTAAACGAATTAAAAATTGTAGAAACATTTTTATTATTAACCAAATCTGGAGCGCAAAGTAAAATTATTTCCAAACTATATAACAGCATCCTGCAGTGTAAAAATGACAGCACTCTGTATATTACAACAATGTGGGGAAAAGAAGGTAATTTGTCAATTACAGAGGAGTGCTGGGGCCACGCATGCATGATACAGTGGGCTACCACTGGGTCTAATGTTTGGCGTGAATTTTGCTGGAAAAGCATTATGAGATTTTTCATCACCCCTGCTCAACAAAGATATCGAGGAATTGGTGATAAATGTTGGAGATATGGGGGAGATGGAGCTAACCATTTCCATATCTTTTGGGATTGCATAGTTATTCACCAGTATTGGTCTCTAATCCATGAACATCTACAAATTGTTTTTTCATTTGTTTTTCCTTTAACCTTTGAGACCATATTTTTGTGTTATGTACCAGTGGATAAACTGAATTCCAGTGATAGAAGACTCTTGTATATCCTACTGGCCGCAAGTAAAAAGCCTCTTATGAGGAGATGGCTTAAGCCTGAACCACCAACGATGGAAGATTGGATACACTCTGTACAAGAGATCTATACACAGCAAATTCTGGTCTTTGGAATAAACTCTCTGGGAGTTCAGATTAACTACATTTGAGTGTACATGCGTGACCATCGAATAAACTCTAGTGCAGAGTTAGAGTAACTCTTTTCTGGGAGTTGATTTTTCAACTCTTTATAGGAGTTAAAACTAAACTCTCATGGAGTAAAATTTCTACTACCATAAAGAGTAAAATGTAACTCATAACTAGAGTTCATTTTGATATTAACTCTTTTATAGTGTTACTCATCAAATGAAAAAAGGTTTTAGGTGACAATTACTACAAAAACACCATACTGATTATTATGAATGTATGAATTTTATTTATCAAAAGTATCATATTCAAAATTCAATGGACTAACATACATTCTGTGTAACAGCACTATAATAGTGTAACATTCGACATTAAAACAGCAACAATTATGGCAGCTAAACAGAGACATTGTGTGGTCAGATAGGCCTAACATTGGGAAAAAAACTGAATTAAAGAAAAAAAAATGACTACAGAATAAGCACTTATTGTAATGCAGTGTTAACATGAAAAAGACTCTATAAGGTCTCCATTAAGCCAACAAATTAAATAATGCAACTGTCTGACACGACATACAATTGTGAATCACACCCATATGACATTTGGCCATCAAAACTTTTGAAATGTCTTAACTTCTCCCTTTCTAGGACCAGTATCTTCTTAGGAATGGTTTCATTTACCTGATAAGCATGAAAATGATCATGGAAACACGTTTCATGCTCAACCATAACAAAAACAGCTTTACCATCATGCAAAATGATCGAAGTTATCTTGCTGAAAACCGGCATGTTTTCATAAGTGCCTGTGCAAACAAAAAGCCCAACACGATATTCAACTCCACTACACACCCAGTTTGTGAGTTTGACAGTGTTCTGTAAATCCACATGAAGATATGGAGATATAATTTCTGAGTATTCTTGTGTTTCAAGTGAACGCATTTTAACTGGACCAGACTCAACTGCTTTTAAACTCATACATTCCCAATGATAAGCTAATGCAAACTGATGTTTCCTTGCAAGTGATACAGTCAAATTCTTAAAGTTCTTAACACAGTCTTTGAAAAATTTGTGTTTGGCTTCAAATCTCATGGTCCAGATATGAATGAGAGGACCAATCTTTCGAATGCACCTTGGATAGTGGACCATGAAATGATGTTTTGGAATTAAGTTGTTTGATGGGTATAGTTCCTTAAAGAGTCTATGGTGTTCAATAATCAGGTGCTTTAAATACACAGTCATTCCTTCAGTGATAGAGTATGAGAAAACTATGTTTAGAATGTGCAACAACAAAAGCAACAAATGCCAGTGCAAATCATCCTCTGGTACCAGGTCACCAAATATCAAAGGTATGTTTGTGATCAAACAAAGTGTTTGTGATGCATTTAAACCTATTCCATGCCCTGCACGATCCAGGTTAATATTCGTTGGTTTATTTTTCTTTTCCATATAGCCGTAATTAAAAGCATATATCCTATTTAACAAGCTATCTTTAGAGATGAAGTATTCGATTAAATATTGAAATAGCAACTTGACTTCATATTGACCAACCCCTTCCAAAATATCATGCATGATGTCAACGGCATAATTTTCCGCAATATTGAAATATTTTAATGAATTAAGTATGCTCTTTCTTTTTATGCCGAATGAAGATGTTAATGTTGGATCATCGACCAAATTATTATAATGTTGGTTATTCAGAATTGTTGATCTAAGAATTAAACATGGGTCGTCCTCTGAGAAAACTAATTGAGCTGAAGACTGATCAATTAAGCAAAATCTACAAAAATAATTAGCTCTAAACGATTCCAAAAACCCAAGAATGCTATGCATCCCCAAGTTATCACCTGTAATTTGTGCCAGAGTACCAAATACAGGAAATTTAGCAAATGGAACAGCAATCCCACTCGTCTCTAATATTTTCAGGTCCTTTACTAGGGGCTTCAGGATTTCATCAATTCCATATTTTTTTGCGTCTTGTGCATAAAATAATGATACCAGATGAATGTTCATTAAAGCCGAATTCAGACTGGGAGGAAGATTTCTAAGGATGAAGTAAAGGCAGCCAACTTTGTGTATACCCTTTTTTGAACCTAAAGGATTTGCACACTCAAATTCGTCATAGTACAATTGGACTTGGATAGCAAACTTGCTACCTGAAAACAAAGGATGACTTTTGAAGTAGCTTCCATCACAGAAGTCCTGATATGTGTCAGACTGGGTGCATATTTGCATCATCTCACAAATACTTTTATTCTTAAAAATGAACTGGAGTGTTTTCAATATGGGGATATATATGAATTTGTCATTTACTGGGACTTGCTCATAGGTTCTAGTTTTGCTACATTGTCTAGTATCGTATCTTACTCCTAGGTGCAATTCAACTGGCTGTACCATTTCCCACTTATCTCTAAAATATTTTTTACATTTGCTTTCAGAATTCAAGTGACTAAACGGATTGTCCAAATTTTTAAATAAATCTGCAATGGCTGATCTGGAGGGACTGTCATTCGGTAATAGGGTCAATAATTGTTCCTGAATATTAGATTGCCAATCTCCCACAAATTCCTCTAAGTTCTGAACTGTAGAAAGAACTACAGTATTTGGTACACCACTTCCTAAAAGTCTGGCAATAATGGAGGCACACATGTCCTTGCTCTGATTTGAGAATGAAGGGCCTGCTTCAGAATTTTGGCACTGAGATGATGTGGATGGTGTTTCATCATTTAAGCACTGAGAACTACTAAACTGTTGGGTATCATGGTCAGAAGGGGTCTCATGAGGAACACATGTGCTAACAGTAGCATGTATCTTATTCAGATGTCTTCTAAATCCAGAATAACTTGAGAATTGTAAACAACATCCTATCTGACCACATTTTAGTTTCAAATTTTTGCCAGGATACATTCCATGAACTAGTTTTAAATGTCTGAACAAAAGTAAAGCTGTACCAAAGGATAAAGCACAGAGAAAGCAGGTCAGCATTTTGAATGCATAACCTGGTTACTACTTATTCAACAGCTTTGCTCGCAACTCTTTGACTCTTGGACTTTCCACTGTTGTACCTACATCAATATTGTACACAGTGGTCTGCAAAAATGTGTACAGGCTGGACAGAGCGTCTTCATATTTCACACTGAAAACAAAGTGGCACTTGAACAGCTCATCAAATGCACCCAGTGATGTGCCTGACTGACATGGAAGAAGCTTTCGATCCAAGACTATGTAGAAGCTGAAAACCTGTGCTTTTGAAGTCCCTGTGGCCAGGAGATATGGCTGAGGGTTTCCTTCATTGTTCATGAGGTGATCCTCAAGGCTCTGGCAAGACTGAAACACAATAAAAAGCATCACTTTATAAACCCTTAGGTTAAGAAAAAGTGTTCCATGAACCACAGTATCTGGAACTGGATCACATTATCTTGACAAACCTTGTGAAATTTAACCAGATGATCTATTGCCTCTCCAACACTCATCTTCTTTGGCCGTTTCCTTCCAGCTGGTTGTGGCGTGAGAAGGTGCAGCAGAACAAGAAGAGAAGCCATGTCGCTGTCCCACTCTGCAGACAGTGTTAAGGAGTTAAATACTAATGCTGGAAAGGGGAGACAGAACTGAACTTCACTAACATATAAAAACTGGTTGAGGGTATGAGCAGAAAATAAGTGATCCATACACACATTATGCACACTGCTGCTTTTTTGATAACTTTTAAAAATGAAAACTAAAATTACTACACTAAAAAAGTGTTACTTTAGGACACTACCTGGCTCATCAGCATCATCCATTTCTTCGTTCAAAGCAGATTTCAGCAATCTTTTCAGAAGACAAGTCTCTTTAAGGTCTCTGGCTTCCCTGGCAACCTTGTCTTTAAAACTGGTGTTCCATTTTTCCAGGAACCTGGAAGCAGTCTCTACTCCAAACATCATTGCAAAGTCCTGCAAAATCTAACAAAGGAGAAGTATGTCCATTAAAATCAATTTTTTTAAGTCAAGTATTTTTCAGATCCGCATTTGTTTACCTACCAGTCCTTTAGTGTCCAAAAACCGAGGAAACATCTGAAGAATGTTTGCTGATTCTTGTGGGTCATGGAGTATCTGCTGACGATAGTAGAATGTCTCTCTCATCTTCTGGAAGACTATATCTTGGTCAGTGGTGTGATGAAGAAGAGACATGGCTTCCATACATTGATCTCTTGTTTGCTGGTCATTAGTGAAACCAAACTTCCTTCGTGATGTGGGCCCTCCTTTCAGTTCCACTCTGTTCTGTGATGCAGTGGGGGGTTTGGATTGACGTTGCACAGTCTTGATACGCCATTCAAGAAAACCTTTGTTGCTCTGAATGTCATAGAAATGCTCCTACAGAAAGAAAGAAATTGCATACATTGTAGAGTGTGTATATATATTTATATATATGTGTAGGGAGAGAGACAGAAGAGAGAGAGAGAGCAAGTCTTATTACACACTACAGTTGCAGAGCAAACTCACATATCCCTTTTTGGAGTACGGATCCTTCAAAGATGGGAAGAGTGACACGATTCCAAGTGCATGAAACTCCTTCGTTGCTTTACTTACAGTTCTCCTGCAAAAGCAGAAGTGTTTTTTGATAAGATCCTTGCCAGTTTTAAAAATGAATAGAATAAACATCATTCCTCTTACCCTTCCTTTTCACGCATGTGAGCTACAATGATGTTCACCATTAATCGCCTGGTGGAATCTTTCAAACTCCCAGTTTTTTCATACTCATGGATGACAGTCACCCCTGCTGGTTTGGAAGTCAGAATCTGCTCCACTGTCTAAACACATTTGATACAAAGAACAAAAAAATTGACAAAAAATGAGACTATTTTAACCCAAACAACGATTTCAATCTGTGGATTATACATATGAACTACATGAAATACTATATCAAATTATTTTTCTCTAATCTGTTTTATCTTCGTGTTTAAGCTTTTTCAAGTAATGACAACTAAAGAGTCAAATACAAGTCTATTAAGTAATGTATCTACATTTCTTGCATGTATGCTGTCCAATAGAGGCTGAACCATTTGAAGTCCGGCATCGCTTGTGTCACTGCTCTGACTGCTGGTGGTTGAGACAGACAATGTATCTGTTAGACTTGGAGAGGAGGGCTCTTCCACATGTTGCTTCAGGACAGTCAAATCTGAGGGTGACAAACAAAAATATTACAATATAAGGCATATACAATCAAAAATCAACCACAACAAAGCTACCATTTACGCACATAGGGCCAGTAAATTGTATGCTTTGATTAAATTATACTTTCTCCCAGGAGAACAGATGGTTATTTTGTATTTTATTATGGTAATATACAATTTACATACCACAAGGTGTGAGTGTCACATAGTGTGTTAGGTCTGAGCAGTCACGCAGCTTCTTGGATGATTGTGTTTCCAGGATGTCTGAAATGCATGTGATAAATCCAACTTACTGTTGAGCCATGAAAACAGCATTTTGTGATTGTTACCACAGGATATTAGACAAATTAAAAAAGGTTTATTTAAGAGTAACTGTAGAAATCAAATCCCACAAAATCTATCAGAGCATATATTTACTTACCTTCAGCTGTATAGATGACAAAACACACCTCTTTGACTCCTGCAAGTTCAGGAAAGACATCCTCATCCACCTCTATACCCTGCTCATCTGTGACTTTCAGTGCTGCATTTTCTGGTATGAGAAACTTCTGCTGCACTGAAGTAAAATCATCACTTAGTTAATAACAACATTATCATTTCCTCTTTAATGACTTATTACAAACTATGTATAACTTACCTGCACTCATAAAATCTGTGAAGCTGACTTCTTCCAATTTGACATATTTCTTTGTCTCTCTGTGTTTTACTTTTATCAACATCTTGGCCACCTACGGAAAAAACCTTTACTAATATGAAACATAACATGTGGAAGAAGAAGAGGCTGTTTATGATAACTTTATGTGAACTGTGTATAACGTAATCCATAAACACTTTCTAACATTGAGCTAGCCTGTCCACACTAGCTTAAAATCTATTTAGCTAAGCTAGGTTTAGCAGACAATGTGACTGCATGTTTGCCTCGTCCTTGTCTTTTCAGGTCTGGCGACAGGGTTGTGTGCATATCTGCGAAGCAGGACTAACTAACTTATGTTAATGGTACCTTGATATCTCATCAATGCAGGCTGCACCTCTCTAAATACGGCCATTACCATGAGTCTAAACATAATATTACTGTAGTTAGCTAACGTTAGATGAAACATTAGTGTTAAAAAAAAGAAATACAAATGAACGTTTTCATTGACAACGTGAAATGTGTATCTTCAAATACAGTAAGATAAGTTAGTTAGCTAACTTTTGACTAATGTTAGCCTAGCTGCTATCAACGAATCAGCGTAACATGCAGAAAACGCATGTAGTGCTAGTTAGTTAACTTTATATTTTACTTATGCATCCATGTAACTGAATATATATATATAAATAACATTACTACACTCACAGAAAATTCCAAAATAAATAAAGTATTTTTACCTCCTACATGTCGGAGTCCAAGAGACAAGCACAGATAGGCGCGGTAACGGTCGACAGACAAACAACACCAGCAATGTGTTGAATTAGACTCCTTAGCACCCAGTGAATGAACACCTAAATATTACACCGCTTTAGAGTACTCCCCAACACTGACTGTAGTATAAGGTGAAAAATAAACTCCCGGAATGTAACTCTTGTGCACTTTTATGCCTAACTCCAGAATTTTTAACTCCATAGATTTGCTGTGTACGATGGAAAAATTGTCATTTTCTCTTAAAGTTCAGAGGGATACCTTTTACAGAATATGGTCTAAATGGACAGAATATGTTAAGCCTGTGAGGTGTGATTTTTTTTATGAACCATGCTTTTTTTTTTACCTTAAAGCTCTGAGTATTATGTGAACTTACCCACCCTGCTACCTCCTAACCCAAGTCTTTTTTTTCCTTTTTTTCCCCTCTTTTTTCTTTTCAACTATAAGTTAAAAAATGTGAAAGCAAAGATAGTGTAAAAAGCCATACTACTGTCGTGTTCAATTGCTTTCTCAATAAAAGAGATAATGTTATAAAATTTGCATTTTACAATTCACAGTTTAGAGTGGTTTAAAGTGAACAGTGTAGCAGCTTGTAAACTTGAGCAGATTTTCTTGGGAGTAAAAATTGTCCATAGAACAGCATGTCAGAGGTAGTGGTGTGTAAAGTGCAATAGAATCAGTTAATGGTTTGTGTGGGTGTGTGCGGTGGGGGGGAAGTGGGAGAGCCGGTAGTGAGTTCAAGAGTCTGATGGCTTGTGGGAAAAAGCTTTCCCGCAGTCTGGAGGATGTGGCCCAATACTGCGATAGCGTCCGGATGGAAGGAGAGAAAAGAGTCCATGTGAGGGGTGTGAGGGGTCAAGCACAATGCAGGAGGCCTTACTGGTGCAGCGCTTGTGGAAGATGTCCTGTAGCAGTGGGAGAGATGTTCTGATCTTGGCAGCTGCTTTAACAATCCTTTGTAGCTGGCTGAGGTCGCGACTTGGCAGTTTCCAAACCACACGGAGATGCAGCTGGTCAGAACGCTCTCTATGGTGCCCCTGTAGAACATGGTGAGAATGGAAGGAGGAAGGTTGACCCGCTTCAGGCGTCTTAGGAAGTGGAGGCGCTGCTGGGCCTTTTTGGTGATGGAGGTGGTGGTCCAGGTGAGGTGGTCTGAGATGTCAACTCCCAGGAACTTGCGGTTGACATGCGGTTAACAGTCTCTGCCGTGGAACCGTGGATGCTGACTGGCGTGTGGGTGGAGCGAGATTGTCACAGATTCGGACGGACTGAGGCCTCTCTGACAGGAAATCTAGTATCCAGTGGCAGAGAGAGGTGCTCAGTCCCAACTTGCTAAATTTGTCTAACAGTTTTTGTGGAACAGTCGTGTTGAATGCTGAGCTAAAGTCTATGAACAGTATTCTGTGAAGTGCAGTGGAAGTAGCATCCTCGGTCGACCTGTTCGGCCGGTATGCAAACTGCAGCAGATCCAGTGAACAGAGGAGGTTGCCCTTCACATGTGCCATGACAAGTCTCTCGAAGCACTTCATGATGGTGGGTGTTGGGGCGATGGGACGGTACTCATTCAGGCAGGATACAGAGGATTTCTTTGTCACTGGGATGACAGTGGTGCTGAAGCATGCTACGACAATCATCTGGCTCAGTGATGAGTTGAAAATGTCTGTGTGGGATGTTGTCTGGTCTAGCAGCTTTTCGTGGGTTGACCTTGGTGAGTATCTCCATCACAGCTGTTTGATGCAGGCTTGTACTATCTGACGGCCTGAATGCCCTGCCATAACCTGCAAGAGTTTTTTTGTGTTTGTGGAAGTGGCTCTGGATCTTTTGTGCATGTGCACGCTTTGCTTGTCGGATGGTGCGAGAGAGGTAGGCTCTGGCTGTTCTGAGAGCCATTTTATCTCCAGACCGGAAAACAGCATCTCTCTCTCTCAGACATGCACGTACCACTGCAGTGAACCAGGGCTTCTCATTGGCTCTCGTGGTGATGTTTTTGGAGACCGTCTCTGTGCACTTACTGATGTAGCAAGTCACAGTGAACTCATCCAGGTCCAAGAAGCCATTTTGGGTGGCTGCCTCTGTACATGTTCCAGTCTGTGCACTCGAAGCAGTTCTGAAGCCCTGAGACAGCCCCACTCGGCCAGACTCTGATGGTTTTCCTGGCAGGTCTTGTGCGTTTCAGCAGTGATGTGTAGGTGGGCAGCAGCAACACAGTGGCATGGTCAGATGAGCCGATGTGCAGGCACAGAACTGCCTTGTAGGCTCCGCACACGTTAGTGTAAACTGTATCCAGGCAGTTCTTTTTCTGGTTAGAAAGTTCACGTGTTGATGGAATTTGGAGAGGACTGTCTTGAGATTCGCATGGTTGAAATCACTGACTACAAAAAGAAAAGCTTACTGGTGTGCAGTCTGGAGCTCGTTGATAGCTGGAGACAGCTCTGCTAGTGCCATGTTAGCATTAGCATTTGGTGGGAGATACAGTGCTATAACAAGTATCGAGGAAAACTCTCTCAGTGAATAGAAAAGATGACACTTTAATATTAAAAATTCCACCTGTGGTGAGCAGTGTTGGTCAAGTTACTTGAAAAAAGTAATCAGTAACTAATTATTGATTACTTCCCCAAAAAAGTAATCCCGTTACTTTACTGATTACTTATTTTCAAAAGTAATTAATTACTTAGTTACTTAGTTACTTTTTAAAAACACGATTTACAACCTGAATAGGTGATAAAGCGATAAATCTTTCAGCCCAATTCTACTTTTTCTACATAATCCATCATACAAAATGTAATCAAATGGAAAAGTCCTTTTTTAAAACTTGTTTTATCAGTTTTAATCTTTTAACTTTATGCATCAAGTAAAAATTTAATTATATGCACCATTCTCTGATTGGAAGAAATTAGTTTAACATTTAAACCTATTTTCTGCACATTCCAGCACATAAAATAAAATAATTTTTGTGTTTACACTCAGTCTTTCAAATAGATGCAAGTAAAACACAGCAGAAAATAAATAAAATTAAAGATTAGGGGTCCTGTTGCTCTATTTTCACCTGTAAAGCAGGACTGCGGTAGGCAGAGGTTTACCCTGGTGCAGGTGTGCCGCAGCAGTCAGGTGAAGAAGTTTCTCTGTGAATTTCCCATTACATCGTTGCACACTCGGAGCTTGTTTAAGGTTTTTTTCGCTGTAAAAAGAAGTTTTCTTCCCACGCACAACGGGCGCTAATGTTTTTGTCACTTTTTATGGAATCAAACTCAAAGTAAGGTCAGTACTTCCACGCTTTAAACGCTGCACGCTCATACTCTATCTGCACTCGATATATGATCCATTGTTGATCTGCACACAGCTGTTGTCACGAACGTCGCGCTCGCTTACGTCACTGTCATGAGACATTCTCGCAAAAAAATCACGGTTTTAGTAACGCAGTAACGCAGCATTCCTACGGGAAAGTAACAGTAATCTAATTACCGTTTTTGCAATAGTAATCCCTTACTTTACTCGTTACTTGAAAAAAGTAATCAGATTACAGTAACGTGTTACTGCCCATCTCTGGTGGTGAGCAGTGGCGACTCACTTCAGCCGAGTTCGTGCATGTTTCCGTGATGATGAAAACACAACAGTTCTTTACTTCACGCTGGGTTGAATGCTGGAGCCACAGATAATCCATTTTATAGTCCAGGGAGTGAACGTTGGAGAGTAGTGGTGTGCGGATCGATATTGAAATATCGATTCTTCCGATACCAGTAATTTATGTTCTAGAATCGATTCTCATGTTAAAACATCGATATTTTAGTACTTTGGGGTAAATTTGTAGTTTTTCATTAACAGGAACACTGTGGAAAGAAACTATATCATTCGGATCGTCTAAATGGGAAGAAATTACTTCCTCCTAGGCCTTTCACAGTCATATGCGAAATACGGCTGTATAAATGTGTCAGCCCCTGGCGTGCGCACTCACAACAATGGCTGATTGTGAACGGAGTCATGTGCGGACGTATTTTACCTCCACAAACGGCTGAGACGTGGTTTGCGATACATGTGGCAAGACAGTGAGGTGTTGTGGCAACACCACTAACCTAGTCAAACACCTCAGAGTAAATCATATCACAGAATATGATGAGCTTATTTTGAGGCGAACTGAAGAGGAGGAGAGGGACAGGTGCTGCTAGGGGAGACAGACGTCTCTGGCGGAGTCCTTTAGTGCTGCAGGCAGGCAACATGTTCAAATAGCGCACAACTTCAGTTTTTTTTAAATTTCTATAGGATAATTCTGCATTATTAAGCAATATGAACAAGTAGTCTGATGTCCTGTAATCATTATGATGCTATATTATTACGATTACATAATACAATTATATATTGTATTATGAAATACAATGAAACATTAGTTTTTTGTACAGAGTATCGGTATTGGATCAGTATCGTCGATACCACTCTGAATTTTACTTGGTATCGGATCGGAAAGGAAATCAGTGGTATTGCACATCACTATTGGAGAGCAGGATGGATGGAAGTGCTGGCCGGAATGGGTTAGCCCTTTAGCCTAGCACTAGTGTTGGTGCGCTTCCCTCGCTGTTGTTTACATTTGCAGTGCTTGCGTTTCGGCCAGCTGAGCCTCGCTGCCTCTGTGGGGGTTGGGGAGTTAGCAGACGCAGGCTCCGTAGCTCTGTCAGCAGATTTGTCGGGGAAATTGTGCTGTTTTTCCTGATTTTGTCTGCATGTTGTGGGTGGTCTGCATCATAACTCGTTCATGAAACAAAAACAAAACAATACACCATAAAAAGGACTCTGAATTAGCCAGAGCACTATCAGCTGCTGCCTGCTCGTGGTGCCGCCGGAAGTATAGGGATAGGGAGGGCTTAGGCCCGTCAGTCTATTCATACCAGCTGTCCCCTGTCCTATGCTCTTTTCACAGTAAGACATCTATAGAGACTGAATAGTCTTAAGATGCCACAAGAAAAAGGTTAAACATTATGTCAATTATGTACTGACGAGACACAAGTTCTGCATAAGAAAAAACATAATGATGAGCAAATAATTTCTCTGAGGCTAGTTCTGCTGGAATGTTAAAGGGGAGTTTTTTTCCCCACTGTTGGCAAATTCTTTCTCACAGAGGTTCATCTGATTTTTGAGGTTTTCTCTGTTTCCTTGGTATTGTTGCAGGGCCCTTACCTTACTATATAAAGCACCAGGAGGCAACTGCTGTTGACTGCGTTCTAAGCCTTTTTTATATATATATTTTTCTTTTGTAACTATATTTAAACGTTTTCTCTTGACTCTGCACTTAATTTCACTTAATAATAAAGATATTCCGATTCTGATTGTGACTACCGTATATAAATAAAATTGAATTGAACTGGCCACAAGATGGCAGTAATGAAAAGGATGAATGCACATGAGGAGCTTTATGACAGCACTGTCTGACATGAAAGTAGAGAGATGGCTTTATTATGGCGCGTTTTTATTTATATATTTTTAGATTTGACTTGTTCTGACTGAATGCCACTGTTAAACAGGCAAACATGACTTTCAAAAATTCAGAATCATCAAGACAGAGAACTGCTGCTATGTAGCACAGATCACCTCTTTCTGTCAGGGTCTTGGGCTTTGCACATTTAAATTCTTCTTTATTATTTAATAGTCCATTTGGTTCTTGCTTTGATTGCTTATTCTTGATTGACACTTGCCTAAGTATGTTGAGTCTTAGTTCTTTGTTTCAGTTAATGCTTATTTCAGTTAGTATTAGTATCTGAGCCTTTCCCTTCTGTGTCAAGTTCATTTGTTCAGCCTGTGTTTTGTAACTATTTATATTGGTAGTGCATATTATTGTATTAGTTCTACCTTTTGTTGCCTCATGTGTGGTTACTTTCAGCTGTGTTTCATTTGCCTGATTTTCTCTTGTATTTATTGTCTCTGTCATATGTCGAGAAACATGCTGCTGTATATTTCCTACTGTTTCTGGTCATGGTGTAACTACTCATCATGGCTCCTGGGTTTTGCTTTCTGTTTTTGGTCTGTATTTTCTTTTCATCATTCCTGCATTAGACGCTTATCCTGTGTTTTCCATTTGGGGCTTGTAAATATGCAACCAGAAACCACTTTCTACCAGAGTGTGGTGCTGTCACTTAGTGTTTGCCCTCTCTGCAGTATGACTTCCTGTTCCTGCTACAACACACAATAGTGTTTTGTGTAGCTTATCGGTGTACCTTTTTAATTCCAAACTTTTAGATAACAAATTTTTCAATTTCAGTTAATGTTCACAAAGCACACTCTTTGTTGAATCCTGCTGATTATATTTGCTAGCTCATGGTGAGTCTCAATAGCAGCATTGCTTCTTTATGTGTCCCTCCCGCTTCTTCCTCAGTAATTGCTCAGTGTGAAAGATGTTTAGCTACTCCTCAGCCTCTTTATTTGGGATTCTATTTTGACACCTGTGAACCTAGAAACACCAGCAACCCTAGTAAATTGTCTTCCATGGGCCAGAGCAAGCAACACTGCTGGCTAAAGAGAAATGTAAATTCTGTAACATTATAATTCATGACCCCAGTATGACACCAATCAGCGGTCACAAAAATTAAAAGGTACACAGGAAAAAGACATCCTGTGGAAGAGAGCCAGAGATTAATAACAAATATGATTCAATGCAGAGAGGTCTGTTAACACATAGTGAAGAAGAAACACGTAGTGCATCATGGGAATCCCCCAGGAGCCTACACCTATTGCAGAATAACTAAGGGAGGATTCAGGGTCACCTGGTCCAGCCCTAACTATATGCTTTAGCAAAAAGGAAAGTTTTAAGCCTAATCTTGAAAGTAGAGATAGTGTCTGTCTCCCGAATCCAAACTGGAAGCTGGTTCCACAGAAGAGGGGCCTGAAAACTGAAGGCTCTGCCTCCCATTCTACTTTTAAATACTCTAGGAACAACAAGTAGGCCTGCAGAGCGAGAGCGAAGTGCTCTAATAGGGTGATATGGTACTACAAGGTCATTAAGATAAGATGGGGCCTGATTATTTAAGACCTTGTATGTGAGGAGCAGGATTTTGAATTCTGGATTTAACAGGAAGCCAAAACAGGAGAAATCTGCTCTCTCTTTCTAGTCCCTGTCAGGACTCTTGCTGCAGCATTTTGGATTAGCTGAAGGCTTTTCAGGGAGTTTTTGGACATCCTGATAATAATGAATTACAGTCGTCCAGCCTGGAAGTAATAAATGCATGAACTAGTTTTTCAGCGTCACTCTGAGACAGGATATTTCTAACTTTAGAGATGTTGCACAAATGGAAGAAAGCAGTCTTACACACACACACACACACACACACACACACACACACACACACACACACACACACATATATATATATATATATAATATATATATAAATGCCTAGAATTGTACAAGATCAAGGACCCTAAGAGCCTTCATCAGGAACTCAATGGGGATGTGGCGTACAACACTAGAGGCCAACTCCAAGCCCATAGCACAAGTCACCATCAAGTGCGGGATCTACCAAGGAGATGCTCTGTCCCCACTGCTGTTCTGCATAGGCCTGAACCCCCTCAGTGAGATCATTAACAAGACTGGCTACGGATACCGACTACGGAACGGAGCAGTTGTCA